CCTAGTAGCACAAAAAGACCAAGTTATCAGTAAAAATATCATTTGAGCTACATTGGGATGATTATAAGTGTGGGTGTAATAAATCCTAAACAGAACATCTCAGCCTAAACTCTTGTCAAAGGTCAGAGGTCCCCATACTATACCTACTCTCAAGACCAGTCTCCAGATTCCTGATATTCTTTTTTTTTTTTTAAGCAGGAAGCAACGTTTTATTGGTGAGCACAGACCCAGTGGACTCCTGTCCAAAGGCTGAGCCCTAAGATCAAAAGGGTCTCATCTTATTTATCCTTGCAAGCAGGTTACAGAGGCAATAAAATTAAAAAACAAGATTTAACTCATGTATGGTTAGAAGCAATTCTATAGGGCTGCTTCAGCCTAGTGCTACCCCTAGGCTCTGTAACCTTCTTCGCCTTTGAATTATTTTTTTTATTCATTTATTCACATGTGCTTACATTGTTTAGGTCATTTCTCCCCCCCCCCCGCCCCCTGCCCCCACCCTCTCCCCCAGCCCCAGATTCCTGATATTCTAACCACACCCTACCACAACCGTCTTATATTCTAATTATACCAAATAGTCAGTCAATGGCAAAAACTTCATACTTTTTTTGCTGGACCTGGTGGCACACACCTGGGATCCCAGTTATTCAGGAGGCCATAGGTAAGAGAATGGAAGTCCAAGGCCAGACCCAGGCAAAATATGAGATCCTATCCAAAAAATAACTAAAGCATGAACAACACATTACTAAATGATGAATGGGTCACTGATGAAATAAAAGAGGAAATTAAAAGGTTCCTGGAAGTTAATGAAAATGAAAACATGACCTACTGGAACCTATGGGACACAGCAAAGGCAGTTCTAAGAGGAAAGTTTATAGCCATGAGTGCATATATTAAAAGGACAGAAAGATCTCAAATCAATGGCCTAACGCTACAGCTGAAACTCCTAGAAAAACCAAATCAAACAAACCCCAAAACAAGCAGAAGGAAAGAAATAATTAAGATAAGGGCTGAAATCAATGAAATAGAAACAAAAAAAATACAAAGAATCAATGAAACAAAAAGCTGGTTCTTTGAAAAAATAAATAAGATTGACAGACCCCTGGCAAACCTGACTAAAATGAGGAGAGAAAAAACCCAAGTCAGTAAAATCAGAAATTCAAAAGGAGAGATAACAACACACACCATGGAAATCCAGGAAATTATCAGAGACTACTTTAAGAGCCTATACTCTAATCAATTTGAAAATCTCAAAGAAATGGACAGATTTCTAGACACTTACAACCACCCAAAACTGAACCAAGAGGCAATTAATCACCTGAATAGATCTATAACACAAAACGAAATTGAAGCAGCAATTAAGAGTCTCCCAAAAAAGAAAAGTCCAGGACCTGACGGATTCACTGCTGAATTCTATCAGACCTTTAAAGAAGAACTGATACCAACCCTCCTTAAACTGTTCCACGAAATAGAACGGGAAGGAAAACTGCCAAACTCATTTTATGAAGCCAATATTATTCTCATCCCAAAACCAGACAAAGACACATCCAAAAAGGGGAACTATAGGCCAATTATCCTAATGAACATCGATGCAAAAATCCTCAATAAAATAATGGTAAACCGAATCCAGAAAGATCATACACCATGACCAAGTTGGCTTCATCCCAGGGATGCAGGGCTGGTTCAACATACAAAAATCAATAAATGTAATAAACCACATTAACAGAAGCAAAGACAAACCCATATGATCAGCTCAATAGATGCAGAAAAAGCCTTTGACAAGATTCAACATCATTTCATGATAAAAGCTCTAAGAAAACTAGGAACAGAAGGAAAGTACCTCAACATTATAAAAGCTATATATGACAAACCTACAGCCAGCATTATACTTAACGGAGAAAAACTGAAACTATTTCCCCTAAAATCAAGAACAAGACAAGGGTGCCCACTATCCCCACTCCTATTCAACATAGTACTGGAATTTCTAGCCAGAGAAATTAGGCAAAAAGAAGAAATAAAAGGAATACAAATAGGTAAACAAACTGTCAAAATATCCTTATTTGCAGATGATATGATCCTATACCTTAAAGACCCAAAAAACTCTACCTAAAAACTCTTAGACACCATAAACAGTTACAGTAAGGTGGCAGGATACAAAATCAACCTACAAAAATCATTAGCTTTTCTGTACACCAACAATAAACAAACTGAGAAGGAACACATGGAAACAATTCCATTCACAATAGCCTCAAAAAAAATCAAATACCTAGGAGTAAATTTAACAAAGGATGTGAATGACCTGAACAAGGAGAATTACAGACTCCTGAAGAAAGAGATTGAGGAAGCCTACAGAAGATGGAAAGATCTCCCGTGCTCACGGATGAGTAGAATCAACATAGTAAAAATGGCTATACTACCGAAAGCAATCTACATGTTTAATGCAATTCCCATCCAAATCCCAATTACTTTCATCACAGAGATTGAAAAATCCACCCTAAACTTCATTTGGAAACAAGAGCCTGTGAATAGCCAAGGCAATACTCAGCAAAAAGAGCAATGCTGGAGGTATCACAACACCTGACTTCAAACTACATTACAAAGCAGTAGCAATAAAAACAGCATGGTACTGGCACAAAAACAGACATGAAGATCAGTGGAACAGAATAGAGGACCCAGATATGAAGCCACACAACTATAACCAACTTGTCTTTGACAAAGGAGCTAAAAATATACGATGGAGCCTCTTCAACAAAAACTGCTGGGAAAACTGGTTAGCAGTCTGCAAAAACTGAAACTAGATCCATGTCTATCACCCTGTACTAGTATCAACTCAAAATGGATCAAGGACCTTAATATCAGACCTGAAACTCTGAAGTTACTAAAGGAAGGAGCAGGAAACACTGTGGGACAAATAGGTATCAGGCAAAGAATTCCTCAATAGAACCCCGGCAGCCCAGCAACTAAGAGAAAGGATGGACAAATGACTTCATAAAATTAAAAAACTTGTTCACAACAAAAGAAATGGTCTCTAAACTGAAAAGACCACCCACAGAGTGGGAGAAAATATTTGCCAGCTATACATCAGACAAGGGACTGATAACCAGAATATACAAGGAACTTAAGAAACTAAACTCCCCTAAAATCAATGAACCAATTAAGAAATGGGCAAGTGAACCTAACAGAACCTTTTCAAAAGAAGAAATTCAAATGGCCAAAAAACACGTGAAAAAATGCTCACCATCTCTGGCCATACAGGAAATGCAAATCAAAACCACACCAAGATTCCACCTCACCCCTGTTAGAATAGCCATGATCCAAAACACCAACAACAACAAGTGCTGGCGAGGATGTAGGAAAAAAGGAACCCTAATCCACTGCTGGTGGGAATGCAAGCTGGTGCAATCACTCTGGAAAAAAATTTGGAGACTTCTTAAAAATCTAAACATAAACCTGCCATATGATCCAGCAATCCCACTCCTAGGGATATACCCAAAGGAATACGACACAGGTTACTCCAGAGGCACCTGCACACCCATGTTTATTGCGGCACTATTCACAATAGCCAAGTTATGGAAACAGCCAAGATGCCCCAGCACTGACGAATGGATTAAGAAAATGTGGTATCTATACACAATGGAATTTTATGCAGCCATGAAGAAGAACGAAATGTTATCATTCGCTGGTAAATGGATGGAATTGGAGAACATCATTCTGAGTGAGGTTAGCCTGGCTCAAAAAACCAAAAATCGTATGTTCTCCCTCATATGTGGACTTTAGATCTAGGGCAAATGCAGCAATGTGGTTGGACTTGGATCACATGATAAGGGGAGAGCACGTATGGGAGGCAGGAATAGGTAGAGGACCCAAAACATGAAAGCGTTTGATGTCCCCACTTCAGAGGAACTAATACAGAAACCTTAAAATGACAGGTTATCAAGAGCAGGGGATCAGGAGCCAAGGAAAGATCAGTTAGAGTTGAATCAACATGGGTGGTAACACATGGGTACATGACAGCAGTCATAGGAATCTTTCTGTATAGCTATCCTTCTTCAACTAGCAAAAATGCTTTGTCTTTCTTATTATGCACGTGTCCTTTCTTCAACAAAATCAGTGATAGAGGCAGAACAGGTTCTGCCTGGAAGTGAGGAGGGGGAAGGGGGGAAGGTGGGGGAGGGGAGCAGGGTGGAGAAATGACCCAAACAATGTATGCACATGTGAATAAATAAACAAAAAATAATAATAACTAAAGCAATAAAGGACTATGGGTATGGTTCAAGTGATGGAGTGCCTGCCTAGGAAACTCAAGCACCAAGGGAAAAAAATTGAGGAAAAAAAATACCTATTTTTTCCTTCAAAATCTTCCTGTCCACCTCTTCCTTTCCTACTGTCACAGGTGTTCTCCAACTATGCCACAAGCTCTCCACCCTAGAGGAAGCTTTCCATCTTGCTGCTAAGTTCCGGAGTAGAATTCTCTCCTCCACTTCACACCAAGGTCAGCTCCATCCTGTTGGCTTTCTGGACCATGATTGATAATTTCCTTAAGATACACAGTGGGAAATTATTTTCCTTACATACTCTTATTTTCTGGCTTATCCCTTATTACTCTTCTACTTGTTTAAAAGCAATGTGGTTACTTGCAATATCTGGAATGTGTTTGTTGGTACCCCCAGCTCACCAAGAAGTCTCTCCTGACTAAAGACACTCCCAATATCAGCCTTCTCCGAGAATTTAAAAAGAAAAGGGTAAAATACTCCCAATCCACTCTAACTAAATGTGTTACATTTTTCTTCAGAAAATTCACATTGTAATTGTACAATCTTTCCTGTCTTATCAATGTATTATCTGTATGATGATTTATGATCTTGGAGTTTTGATTTTTTTTAAGACATTTTCCTTTGAGGCTTTTTTATATACCTTAAACAGGAAGACCTTTCCAGGTGCTCAGGACCCAAGGTAATACAAACATTTAATTTTTGTTCGTAGGGCAAGAAGACAAAACCTACCTGTCCGTGCTTTTGCTGAGGGGCCACCCCATGAAGAATTTCGGGATGTGATGAGGCCTTGAGATCAGCCTCCCGTACTTTGGGACGTACAACATCAGAGACCAGACTAGAGGAGATAGCCAGAGACTTGGGCCTGACAGCCATGTTGCCTGTTCCTCCAGGAGGACCTTGTTCACCTTTTCTGTTTGTGGTTTCATCTTCCCCTTCAGAGTCCACAATAAAGACATACTCGGCTTTGAAGAGGTCACTTTGCTGCATTCCGAGAGGGTCGTTTGCTTTAATTCCCCTTCCTTGTGAATTCTGCCCACTAGCCTCTGATGGACAAGACAATGTCCCTTTGTCTCTGTCTTGTTGACTCCCAGGGCTAAAGGTCAAGTTGTCATTGGAACTAGGCTGCAACAGATGTAGAGAGATGAAAGCTTTGACATTGGTTTGATAAATGCTTCTTTTTTGTTAACAGACACTGAAAACTGTAACATGTATTTAAATATATATATTATAAAATCAGGCTGACCTAAGAGAGATTGAAGTTAATGGTTTACTTTTCCTAGTCCACCTGTTTGTTCTGTCCCAAGGCCAAATGAATGAGAATCAATCTAATTCCTTCCCAATAAATCATAATATGATGAGAGAAAGAGGAGAGGAGAGAAGAGAGAGAGAGAGAGAGGAGAGAGAGAGAGAAATAGTTTTAGTCAATGGTCAAGCAACCTATATATCCTTTACAAACCCAGAGAGAAGGAGAAAATCTTATTGAAAGTTTCCAAAATAATACAAATATCTTAAAATTTTTGAAAGGAAAAACTGGAACAAAATGCATAGATTGTCAGATATAATACTCTAATTAAAAAGAACTCATAAATAGGACATAAGGAAGATGTGGACATTTGTAGTACTGACATTTTCATTACATTATTTTATTTTGGATTGATAATTCTCAACCTTTTCCCATATGACTTTCTATGAATATAAAGGAGGCTTACAAGACCAGGATTAATATTGCTATATCAAGCTATCAAACATTTTCTAAAATAAAAGGAATGAACACTAAGATTGTGTTTAAAAGACTCACTGTTTTCCATAGTATTTATCACTACCGAAAATTTTATTCTAGACAGTTCCCTGGTTTTCATTTTCTACTTCCCTGATAACAAAAAAAGTTATGTGAGTTGTCTTTGGAATCCAAGCACTGGGAACTTTGCATATGTCCAATGAAAAGGCACTAAATATACAAGTCAATTAGAGGTTGCTTACCCTAGTGTAATATTGAATTATTTAAAACACCGTTTAAAAAAAACTTTAACCTTTTAAAGATGTGGTTGTGCCTGTATCGGTACTTGGATATTATCTGAGCAAGCTTTGGAGGTTTTCGACCAAGACAGTCTCACCCAGTTCACAGAGCCAAATAACAAAGGAGCCTATGAATATATTACATGTAGTTGAATCTTGTAAAGGAGAAACTTCAAGAAGTGCCTTATAGAGTATTCAGGATTTCTCTGAAATAATTTGGCCCATATTCTTTGAAATAAGAGAACATAATTGAAAAGCCCAGGATAATAAACACATCACTGCCTTGTAGATAAGAAGTCTCCGTATACAGCAGGAATGTCTTCCCACACCATCTCCTCCACAATTGACTCAGGGATAACAGCACCCCATCTTATTTATGTGTAACAATAAATTAAGTAATCTTAAAATACACTTTAAAGAGAAAGATTTTGACCCAAATTGAATTATTGTAACCCAAATCATTTTATTTTTTAAAAGTTTTGATATATCATCTGTTTTCAATGTATCATTATTATATATTCAGCATATAAAATAATAGGTTTCATTATGATATTCCATACATGTTTATAGCGTACTTTGATCACATCCACCTCTCCATTACCTCTTTTCCATCTTTCTACCATTTTCTCCTTCCAGCTCTCTAAAATGTCCCCTTACTTTCCTGTCCTTTTTTTTCAGATTTTTTTTTTTTTGTCTGTTCAAGTTCACTATGAGTACTGGCCTATGATAGCCAGGTAGCATCCAGGTATGGATACAATTCACAGCCCATTTTATCACCTAATATTCTAAAGTTAATGTTTCCATTGAATTTCACAATCACTACAACTATACCTATGTCAAGGTGATATACTAGCATATTCTTATTTTTCTCTGGTTGTTTGATGTTAGGCAATTTTTATTTTTCCCTAGTTATTTTTCTACATAACGTTCTTTTTTTGTAATATTTCTTTGAGATACATTTCTGAAATTATGGAAAGATTATCAACAGTTGTATGAGTGTAGATTAGAGATTTTCCACCAAATTTTATAAATTTATAAAACTAGCATCAAAGTGTGACCATATCAATTATTTCCACAGCTGCCCCAACATTGAGTATAACTTTTAATATCACTAATTTATTGCTTGTAAAAACTAATATCCTGCTGTCTTATCTTGCATTTTCTTTTAAAATGAATGCAAATAATTTCAGTTTTTTATTACTAAGATAGATTTGAGCAAAGGTGCCAGAAGGCAGAATTTGTCCTGTGAATGGTAAACAATAGAATGTCAACTTAGAATAGTTGAGGACAAAACACTATTGATAAGCTGGGACATGATTTGATAACATTTAGGATCATTTACATAATTGCATATACATAAGAGCTACATACCCAAACCTCACAATCAATCATATTTTTAATCAATCTTGAATTTCACAATCATGTCACTTTAATCAGAGGAAATACACATTGGTACAAACTTCCAGGTCATTATTATGGTTAACTTTAGATTTTTGTGTGAAATAAAAAAAGAATAAAAATATCCTACCCTATTTACAGTTTCTGGACTCTTATCACTTGGTTCCTCGGGAATTTTAACAAGGAATTTAGAAGTGTCAGCCAACTGAATGTGTGTTGGTAGTCTTCTGATAGTGGGGACAAATGTGAAGATCAGAGGTTTGGCTTCAGAATCACCAGAGGAGACCTATGAAATATGTATAAATTAGACTTTCAGCCAGCCAAAGGTTTATATCACTTTGTTTTCTAAGAACCATGATACTTATCTCATTTCTTTTGATAAATTGCCTACTGTCCTGTGATCATACATATGGCTGCCAATAAAAAAAAAGCAGACATAAAAATAGTTATACTGTGTGGGAGTCTGTTTTCTCATACCATTTACCAGAAAAAGCAATCAAGCCCTGGAGGGTCCTGCTGTATGGGACGTCAATAAAGCAGCAGGTTGCTGAGCTGATCAGCCGGAAGCTCAGAGGGCATCCCTGCTTCCGTGGGATCATCGCAAACACAGCATCTGGCCTGTTGCAGTTTTAACTTTTAGCCATTTAACTCTAGGAGAGCAGGTTCAATTTATTGGCTCATGATCAACAAGCATGCAAGAAAACTCCACGTTTATCAATTACAAGTTTGGATTTAAAAGTATGTACCTCAGAATGCTGGAGCCTGCTTTAAAGGACACGACTTCTCTTTCCTTCACTCTGAATTCATTGGAAAGTCATTCTATTAAGTATGTGCTGTGCGGTGGACTCAGGAGCAGGGACGTGATGGTGTATAAGAAACAGAAAAAGGATACTCACACAGTTCACAATGGGGACATCTACCCAACCTGGGAAGTGACATAAAAGGCAACACCTGAAGTGGAAATCCAGGTGACAAGAAGGCCGAGGATGCCCTGAGCCGAGGAAACCCAAGGAGCCAAAGCAGGGGAAGTTGCTGCAGCGGTGAAGGTGCCAATTGTGGACATGGTTCTGTGGGCACCAGAGAGCCAGTGAAGTGGCATTGATTGGCAGCTATCGTGGTCATGTTAGAATTTTGGATAAGTAAGTCTGGCTTTTAAAGTCACAGAGCTGAGGACAAGATGACACGTGAAAAGTCATAAACAGAAAGGGAGAAAGGAAAGAAGGGTTGTAGGCTTCTCTTTCAAGACATTTGGGTGAGAAGTCGAGGTCTGGGAGTGGCAATAGAGGGAAATAAAGCTGACAATGTACTTGTGTTGCTCTTATGATGGAGTAATTTGAACAGTAGAGCGAGATCCTGGAAGAAGTGGCAAAATAAGATAAGGAAACATTTCCCCCCACCACTGGGATTTGAGCATCATGCTTGCCAGGACTGTATCACTTGAACTACACCCCCAGGTTTTCTTTGCTTTGAGTTATTTTTCAGATAGGATCTTAAACTTTTTGCCAAGTCTGGCTTAAGACTATGATCTTCCTACATATGCTTCCCATGTAGCTGGGATTACAGCAGCCACCACATCTGGCATGTTTGTTGAGATGGGGATCTCACTAACTTTTTTGCATGGGCTAGCCTCAAACTGCTAACCTCTCTAGTGTCTGGAATTACGGGCATGAACCATCCCTGATGCCAAGGACTCCTATTGTGAGAATCAACTAAATCTAGGTCTTTTCTGTCAAAGGAGTTAATGTATAACTATCATTGTGTAGATACCAGCTAACTCCCCGAATTGCTGCCTACAAATGTCACTGTGTGGGAAAAACCTTGCTCTTACCCCAAACAGTCACTACCAGGGAGGGTTGTGAGCCCAAATCCTTGTGAAGGACGGGGAATCACACATCAAGAATATAATCTGAGCCGACTTCCCACCCAGGTGTGCTCTGCCTAGCAGACTATGGTCTGCAGCTGCACCCTTCTGCAAAAATAAAACTTTTCTTTTTGCCTTGTTGAATGACTCTGGCATGTTTCTTTGATCACTTTTTTGGGAACAGCACTTCTAACACAATAAACCTGGAGAAAGTGAACTGAGGGGATAGGAAAAACCGTGAATTTGCAGGAGTGAAGAAATTGAGGAAAGTGGGAAAGGGATGGAAATCACTTTTGATAGCTCCAATTTTTATAAAATCAGCCCCATCTAGTCAGAAGAGCACTGCCTGCTTGCCATTTCCATGTCTTTGTCAGAAGAAACGTGTGTTGGCAAGACCCATGTCTTCTTCCTTCAAGCCATGCTGCCGTTCTATGCCTTGGACACCTTGGACTATACGTGTGTATCCTTACAGCCATGCCCTCCAATCTGGTCCATGTTAGTGCCCACGAGAAACCCAGAGCTCTGCCTCATGGTGCACGTCGTAAAGGCTTGCTCCATCTCTGCTTTTGCTCCCGTCTTACTTCCTGCTCCCAACTGTTGAAACCTATTCACTGTACACCTTCTGGTCTATTGTCAGCCATTACAAAACTGTCCATATTAACTTCTGTAAATAGCCCCCTCATCTCCCAGTTCTAACAAAACCATCATTCTCTCCTTAAGGAGCTCTCATCGTAGCAGCATTTCTGTCATGGGCCTGCATCCTTTTTGTTCCTCTTTACTGCCACTTTTCTTCTCTTACCTAAGCACATCCAGCTTTGAACTTCATCCCATCAGTCCACACCATTCACGCTTCTCCCAGTTACAGTCACACCACAAGTCCCAGATAGCAGCTTATCCTCAGAAAGTGGTCACTGTTTTCCTTTGTGGGAAAGGACATTGGCTCCCTGGTGAGACTACAGGAGCCGGGAGAACTAGGAGGAGGCCAGTGAGCAGTACTGACACTGCAGACTAGCTGGATGTATTATTTCCTCACACAGTTTCTTCACGTGACTCTTCTCATCAATACCCTGATGGGATAGAGAGTGGTTTAGGCAAGGAAATCCCTGAGGGTAGTTCAAATAATCCATCCTAAAATTTCACGTGAACAAAAAGAAGGATAATCCTTTAGGACTCAAGGAAGAAGATGTGAAATTAGGACCTTGTTCTCGGGTTCTGTAGATATACCTGTCCTATGTCCCACACGATGACTACAAGCCTATCTTAGGTCTAAATAGAACTTAGAAGCGACATATGAAAAGCTTCAGTGTAAACACCCCATGGTTGTGAAATACATGTTACCATCATAAACAGTATATAGTTTTGCCTTCAAAGCACAAGCAATGATGAAAATTTACTTCTCCAAATGCCTTTCACAATTGTCACAGATTATATGTGTCTTAAATCTCTGAAATACAAACAGAGTTCCACAATTGATACATCATGAACAGCAGGCTTCTTAAAGGTTCATAGCTATCATTTTAGCAAATAAAACAAAGTATAAACAAAACTGATACGTCAATGAATAAGGTGTGCTGTCATCATAACACCATGAAAGGAATTTCTAAACATAACCACATGCTGAGAGTGAAGGCATCTGAGAAGGACAAACATTTCCTCTACAGAAACATCCATATCCTCTGTCAAACTTCTTCACCGTAGGAAAACAATTCCAATTGCTTACTTTAGTTGAACAAACATATGATGTCATTCCAGCAAACAGAAAAACAGAAAATCTAACAGGACTAAAGACTTATTCCTCTTGCTGGGTTGCTGTTGGAGAGCAGCAGACTCAGGGAGAGATTTCTGTCCACATCAATATCCTCAGAGCAGTCACAGGAATGACAACTGTTTGTTACTCACTACGAAATCAGCACGGGGTTCTGTCCTGTCTTTACCTAGCATTCTCTTTTGTCATCAGGATCTCACATGCACTTGTAAAGAATTTCAGATGGAAAAGGATTTGAAATCACACTAACCATGTTCTTTCTGCAACCATTAGATGGAAAGTCACATGTTAGCCAGTATACCGTTGAATCCCTTGTTCAGAAAAAGTAAAAATAAAAAATGCTATTTACTGCATACTGTGTGGCCAAGTTCCAATGGAGCCCAAAAATGAATTGCTATGGTGATGAAAAATCATTTTCCACACAAAGCAGAAACAGATGCCTGTTAATAGCATTGCACTTGTTAATTGCCAATTAACACTTTCAATTGTCAAAACTGGTTAAAAATCTTAGCTCCTATCATGGGGAAACTATTTTAATAACATAAATAAGAGTTAAAATGATTAAAGCATTTTCATCAATTTGCTTTGAAAGAAATGCTCAGAATCTCTAGGACTGACACTTTTTCTCCAGACAGTCTCATAATTTGAGACTCACAATTTGATAAACTGTTTTCACCAGTCATGCAAGCTAACTGCTTCTTTGCTCAGTTTCAGGCTGTAATGCCTTCCTTTCTTATATTTCCTAAAAGTTCAGTTCCTTCCAGTGTTGATGCCCACACTCACAATGGCCAATAACCTCTTACTGAGGAGAGCCTTTGTAAGGTACATTAGCACTGGTACCCTGCCACAGGCAGTCCTGAACGTTTTCCTTGCCCTTATCAACTCACCCTTTTCCCTAACTATAGACAACAATTCATCTGATATACAGACAAATTTATCTGCACCCGGGTAGCTCTCCCTCACACCCTCTGGCAGCAAACACCAGGAACACAGTGCACTGCCTTTAAGTCACTGAAAGCATTAAGCAAAGACTTCCTTTTACCTGGGGTGTGGTCTGAATGCTCCCTGCTAAGATGCCCGAGTTCATTTGGAAGTAATTGCTCCCGCAGTCACTCAGAAGCCCTGTTCTGGAAGCATTGATTCATCACATAAGGGAGTGAACAAACCAATGACTGAGGTGGGAAGGAGCCTGTTACTAAAACAACACACACACACACACACACTCAGAGAGAGAGAGAGAGAGAAAGGAATTCTAAAAAGAGGTAAAGCCGATTCCGCCCCGCAATGAAGAATTCATTCTATCAGCTCCAAAGAGCAGGTTTATGTTTTGACAATTTTTAGATTTGAAACTTCATGCTGAGATGGGATCAGAAGCAAAACCCTGCCACCCCTAAGTATTTGCCCTCTTTTCCTTTCATGCATGTATTCCAATTATCTGCTCTGTGAAAGGAGAGAAGGCAGATTGAGCATCAGAGGGAAGCTGACTGAAGGGCCCTAGCATCTGCCATTCTCCGTCATCAGTTGGTCACGCTCACAGAGAGTATTTAGAGACCCAAATACATGCCAACACTGTGTCTGAATAAAAATCTACAAAACGCACAGTGGCCATCTCAGACAATCAGACAATCAATAACTTCAACCGTCAGTCCTTGAAAGCAAT